CTTCTTTGTTGGGTTTTTGTGTTGTTTAGGTGGTGACCCGATACCACTATATTAAATATCCATGCTGCATGCACGCTCTTTTAAATTTTTTTGATCTTGTGTGGAACCTAGAATGCGGAACTAAATAGCGCTATTATCATTTTTACGCTTTATTCTGCTATTGTGCCATAATTTCTGCTCTGATCATTCTTTTGATTGCTTTACGATTAAGATTGACAAAACTCGCAAGAAAAAGCAGCTTCCAGAAGAAACTTCCAGCTCAGTTATTCTCCACCAGCATAAATTTACCGAGGCCCAAGAGTATGGTGCTTTCCAGACGCAAAGCCCTGTTTCTGTGCTTGAAAGCAGCAGATGTTCTGGTGGGAAGTGGGTGCCGATCAAATCTAAGCGAGTTAGATTTCTTCCATGGCTTTCAGCTGGCATTGTCATTCCAGTTCAAGCCAGATCTAAGCGAGTTAGATCCTCGACTGTAAACCCATGGCTTTCAATTTCTTCCACCTCTAAGAAGACTTCAAATTTCAGGAAGAACAGAGACAAGAGGAAGAAATTGTCCCAACTTACAGTTGCCAACGAAATCATGGACGAAGGATCTCAGAAGGCTAAAGCTTCACCAATGGTGTCGGATTCTGTAGAGCTGCAAAGTACTTCCCTGCAGCGGGTTGCAGCATCGAAGAAATGCACACATTGTGAAGTGACGAAGACACCGCAATGGAGGGAGGGACCAACAGGGCCAAAGACTCTATGCAATGCATGTGGAGTTCGATATAGGTCGGGACGCCTATATCCAGAATATCGTCCTGCAGCAAGTCCTACATTTGTACCATCTCTGCACTCCAACTCCCACAAGAAGGTTATAGAGATGAGAAACAAAGGTAAACAACACACGGCTAAGGTCGAGGAACCCCTAATTTCCCCACATCCCGGTTTTGTTCCCATGGGAAGCTATTTGTTCGATTTTATGTGCTGAAATTAACGACGTTAAGTTCTAGTTATTGGACCAGTTTAGTTCTAAATTTTTTTCAGAATGTTTGTTTCTTGTTCTTTTTCCTAGAATGTTTGCTGGTATGGTGACTTGTAGGTTAGAATTGTGTACAAAAATGAAATGGAATCTTGATTACTATGGAGAAGGTGGATATGGTTTAGGGTTTGAATTTTTCCATCTTCATTATATTCTTTCTCAATCTTGTTTTCATGGTGGTAAAGTTTGCAGTTGTTACATTTTGATTCTGGTAAGATGTGAGTATTTTATAAATATATTACCATATTTCTTCTGAAAATAGTGAGTTAAACAATTGATGGCTAAGCTTAATAAATTAAATGAAAAGTAAATAAATTCTTAATATTACTATTTAAAGAATAAGGGTTGAGCCCAAATATCAGTTATTGATGCATTTTGAGATGCGACTTTGGAAAATTGGGTTAATGTGTTTTGAAATTGT